CTGATGGATCCAGTGATATATTTAATTAGCAGATTATAAACATCAGACCAAAAGATAATTGTCAGACATTAACTGTGGTTCTTTCTTCATTAAATGAGCTTGCAGTCATTTGTCGCCATATGTCAAGTAGAAATATTGAATTTATTGTTACGCCAATTGCAATCTGTTTCTGTTATCATACGTCTGTGCCTGAGGAGATTATTTTACTGTTGGAACAAAACACATACAATTAGATTTAACTAAAAGTCTAAAGTTTGGTGTAAATCCATGATGGTACCCAACTTTCTGTGGTACCTAACCTTAAAGAGTTGATGGTGATGTTGTGGTCTGATTTGTTCACAAAATGCTCCATTTGTTTGTCCCAACTTTTTTCTGTTGGGACACACAAAATGTATTATAACAAGAAAACAAACCCCAGCTTTAAGTTTAAGGAAAAGGTTAGAAACAGACTTTTCTTTGTTGCCATTGTAAGAAGCAAGAAGTCACAAACTAGGAATTTGCTTTGGTATATGATGCAAACAAGTTATAAAAAAGTGAACATCCATCCATCCATCCATTTTCTTCCGCTTCATCCGTTGCCGGGTCGCGGGGGCAGCAGTCTAAGCAGAGACGCCCAGACTTCCCTATCCACACACATTTCCTCCAGCTCGTCCGGGGGGACCCCAAGGCGTTCCCAGGCCAGCTCATAGACATAGTCCCTCCAGCGTGTCCTGGGTCTTCCCCGGGGCCTCCTCCCGGTGGGACGTGCCCGGAACACCTCCCCAGGGAGGCGTCCAGGAGGCATCCGGAACAGATGCCCGAGCCACCACAACTGGTTCCTCTCGACGTGAAGAAGCAGCGGCATCTACTCCGAGCTCCTCCCGTATGACTGAGCTTCTCACCCTATCTCTAAGGGAGCGCCCGGCCACTCTGCGGAGGAAGCTCATTTCGACCGCTTGTATCCGCGATCTCGTTCTTTCGGTCATTACCCAAAGCTCATGACCATAGGTGAGGGAGGGAACGAAGATTGACCGGTAAATTGAGAGCTTTGCCTTTCGGCTCAACTCCCTCTTTTCCATGACGGTAAAGAGGGAGTAAAAAAGTAAGTAAAGTAAAGTAAAGTAAAAAAGTAAACAAAAATAGATTTCAAAAATTCCTTAAATCTTGACACAATTCCAATAAAGTGGAACCCAACAACACGCCAGACTTTTCTTTCCAGGTTATGTTACATACTTGTGAATGTATAATTTGAAGTGTAGTGTCATGTTTTTCTTTGACATACTGCAAATATGACCATATAGGACACAAGTGGATGAGGAAGAGTGAAACATTGCACCAGTAAAATTATTATTAAATATGATTTCACTCTTTAGCTGCAATCAGGGTGAATCTATACCTGGCAGTAAAAGCAACTTACATAAGACTTTGTACTTGCAATTGGCCCCTTACCAAAAAGTTCTTGGAAAGTAATTAGTAATTTATATCTATACCATTTTATGCTAATTTCAGATATGTTGTACTTAATTCTTGCTTCACTTCTTCATTTTGCTAAAGTTGGAGATTTAAAATTTGTTAGAGATTTTTTGCTATTGTATTTAGTATAAAGTAATTGTTCATTTATTTCTTGTGTTGTGTGATCCTCATTCCTACTGTTATGTAACCTGTGATGCAACACTGAAATTTCCCCACTGTGGGACAAATAAAGGATGTCTTAATGTATTTTAGTGCCAATCAAATACAGTTTCACTCCGTCCTTGAGCAAATCTTTTCAGATTTAAAAACAAGACAGAAGATTGTAGCTTGAGGAATACAAGATTTTGGCTGTGCCCGAGTTCTCTCACGTCTGAAGCTGCTTGTCAGTGTCCGCTGCGGCAGTACTGCGGGGGAGAGGGGACAAAATGAACAAAACTCACAACAGGACAACAGGGTGAAGGAGAGGAAGTAGCTCTCTCTAATGATGCTTCTTGTCTGGACTCCGTAGATGTCCCACTGACAGCAGCCGAACACTAGACACCTTTTACACCTGCGTCGAAGTCGATATAATGAGGGAAGTCGACATGTATATTCACAGAGGTTTCTGGGGTTATTCAAAGAGCAAATTCAAGTCAAAAAACATTGCAAAACATTGATATATCTGGCTGTAATGACTAATGCGTTCTCTGAATCAAGCACTTTGAGTTGGTCTTAGTATGTACAGTATGAAAGGTGCAGATAAACTTACTTTTCCTCTTATTGAGCGACAGTAGCAGTAGTAGTTTATTTTCTTCGGCCAATATGTACACCAGATCTCAGGTCCCACGGTTACAGAGCCTGACCGAAAGGGGTTTAGGCTGCAGTAAAAACGTATACTGCCAAACCCTATAACAATGGGAAAATACGTCCAAAGATGACAAATTATACAGTACCTCATATACTGTACCAACGATGGTAACATAATAAAATTTATATTAGACATGATCAAAATTATAAATGACACAATATACAGTTTCTCATGTACCAACAATGGTAACATAAAGCACAAAAACTTAAACTTAAAAAAATCAAAATTATGTTTTCATGATCCAAATTATAGATGTCTTAGTATTACTCTTCTGCCCTGGGTTTCTGTAAAAGATCAGTTCCTCTGAGTAAGTAATGTTTATTTATATAGCACATTATACAGACCAAGGTCACCCAAAGCGCTTTACAACGTTCAGAGTTCAGGTATTGTTCCAATCATTCCACACACAGTGATGAGGGACCCAGGACCTTCTTGCTGAGAAGTACTATCCACTCAGCCACCGTGCCGCCCACAGGCTGTATTCTCTAGTACGAGACATCTCTTGTAAACAGTGACGAAGCATGAAGTTGTGAGCCTTGTACAACACAGCTGCTGTGTAAACATCAACAAGATTATACAATTTTAGGATATTATGTCTAATAAATAGTTGATTTGTTGGGTCAAGGTATTCTGCATGACTGATCACTCTAGTTGCTTTCTTTTGTAAGACAAAGATTAGATAAAGTAAGAAAGGTTTTATACTAGTTTTGTTCGTATTCCCCTCATATTTTCTACACAGGTGTACAGCCATTTGGAATCTGCCCATGTCTGTGGCACATACATTTTAACTGAGAAAATAAGCGTTGCTACATCTGTTAATATTTACAGTCTATGGTTCAAACAGATTCTATGATCAGTGTTGATGAATGTTGTCTTGCCCTGTTGTAATTTAGGGCAAGACACAAATGGAAATTGAATTGAACGTAATTTGTTAGTTTGTGGTTTCACGCTTTGAAAGTTATATACCCAAGCTTGGCCTTCACTCATAATTTATGTTGTGTGCTAATAATGCTGTCGCTTAAAACATTATTAGCATGGAGACAAGTTTTTGATCTCTCACTGTGGGTATAAATTTGGATATGTCAGATAATCAATCAGGGCATATTAAAACTATGAGCCCGTTTTCCCCATTTATGGTCCCTTCAGCGAACCTCAGCTGTTTTACCATTTATTCTCCTGCCTTGAAGTCAATGAAGTGTCCCTCTTTATCTATTGTGTTATCTTGCATTCAATCAGGCAGACAACTTTGTTAGGGAGATGTATTTACCTTGACATGTTTGGCTGCTCAGCCTGAGGCATCTCTACCAAAGCTGTCATCCTAAATGAAAGCAATATACACATAACTGAAGACATAAATCATGTTATCACAGTGCATACCAGTTTGTCCTTTGTATTTGACCCTTTCTTATACCGATACTGCAAACTGTCAGTGTCAGGAGCAAAGGACAACCTCAGTAATGCAGGAGCCAGTATCTTAAAGCTTTGGTACTTAACTTTCAAACCAGAAATAGTTCTTTACTGTGCTAAGGTTCCATCCATCCATCCATTTTCCTTCCCCTTAATACATTTTTGGGTCAGGGGGGGTGGCAGTCAGAGCTGCACCCGGTATACAGAGCATCAGATTAAAGTTAGAGATTTTAAACTTGCTTCTTTATTACGCTAAAGTTACAGATTCTATGTTATTGAGTTATTTGTCACAGTATCTTGTGTTGTGTGCCTCTCATTCCTACTGATCTGTGACTGGTGATGCAACAATTATATTTCCCTGTTGCAGAAGAATAAAGGATAATTTAAACATCTAGGTATAGCATGACTGTATTGGTGGAGCTGAAGTTGGTTGGATGACACTGTCAATGTGCCTCAATGGCAACATTGTGTTAGCAGCAGAAGGGCCACATAAAATGACACAGAGAGAAACTATAAGGTATTCACAGGTATTCAAAGCCTATAGGATTTTTTTATATAGCTGTTGCCCAGACCCTCCTCCAGCGTCATGGAGTAAGATGAAGTGGGCATGGAACAATATCCTTGATGAGGACAGCAGTAACTGATGCCAGCAGGTTCGACAACCTCAACCACTGGCCCTGCAACAGCGGTAGTAAGTATAAGTGATGCATGTTCTGTGTTGGACACTCGGATCTTCATGTATCATACTGCATCATACTGAGCATGTATAGGGCAGAATGCATTTATATAACATGGATATCTACAGTAAACTTTCTTGAAATTACCCTTGGCATCAATCTTTTTTATTTATTTTTCAGCTGTTGGGAAAAAGAAAAGCCTATAGAACGTATCTGTAGGCTACTGACATTTCTTTCGATTGCCGATTGGAAATTTCATCCATCCATCCATCCATTTTCTTCCCCTTAATCCATTTCTGGGTCGGGGGAGTGGCAGTCAGAGCTGCACCCAGTACACAGAGCACCAGCCCCTCACTGATCCTCCTGCAGGTGGTGAGTCCACAGGAGCTGAGATCTTCCAGCGGGGGCTCCAGGCAAAGTGGAGTTAAGTGTCTTGCCCAAGGACACAATGACAGCAGACATCAGTGGGAGTCAAAGTGGAAATTTCATGTTTTGAAAATATTTGTTTGTGAAAAAAGATAGGTATCCCAGCTTTAAGTCTATCTAGCTTGACATATTCAACAGATTTTATCATCAAAAAATACAACAACGACAAGTATTTTACAGAGAATTCCAACATGATCCCGTATGCTTCCCCATCTCTCCTCCTCATTAACCTGGACCTGTTCCCTTCTACCCAGGACCTCCATGGCGTCTCCTCTTGTTGCAGTTTTTCTTCCCCGGCTCGTAGCATCAGCGCACAGGCTCTGACAACCGCTAAGTCCCTCATTATCCGGCGTGAGAGAGTCCGGAGACAAACACAGGGAAGGCTGCAGCCGAGACAGCAGCACAGCACAAATTGCCTCATGGAGCTCATTGAAATGCAAGCGGCGGGGTCCACACTGTGGTGGGAGGATGCAAGTTAGCACTGGGAATGCTGCAGGGATATGAGAAGATAAGAAGAAAGGGGTTAGAGGGCTATTTCTAATCCAACGTGTCACTGGAAGGGATATATATGGGTGACATCTGACATCTAGTCATAGGGAGAGGGATGTCCCATAGCTGTGACTGACTACAACAGCACATATGTGGCGATAATTAGGAGAAAGATGGACAGAATGGTAGGGACAAGTAATGGCAGTATACGCTTGTTGGTGGGATCCAGTCAAGCAAACAAATCTGTGAAAGCTATAGTTTCAGTTTTGAATAGATCAATTGAATATTTGCTTTCATTGGCACTTATACAACAAAATGCAAGGAAAAGATTGCATTAAAATTATATGTATTGGCATGTTTTTTATTAGTAATTTGTAGCTGTATGATTTGACAATTAGACCCGGCAGACACATGATGAGGTACTAATATCTATTGCGTTTATACATTTGGCAATTAAACCCTGGGAAAAATATGGCAAGGAAATATGAGCTTGCAATCCCCCCCAGGGTTAAGGAAGCTGAGCCGATAACATGACGATACTCCACTGAAGATGTGGTGACGAGGAGGAGGTGGGTTGCTGCAGTAGCTTGATGCTGCAGGATGGAGACCCTCTGTTTAACGTAGCCGTGAAGTGACGATGATGAGTACAGGGGCAGGTGTTTAGAGGGAGGACACAGTGGGCACCAATTATTGTGGTGACTATTTAACTTAATCCTCTAACAAAAATTGAGCAGAAGAACATTACTAAATGTTGAATTATTACTGTTACATCAATATTCATAGTGACAATTCACACAGTGGCCTTTGTGATACATCTGTCTGAGTGAAAGCCTGGATGGACTCCACAAATGTCAATCTAATAATATAGTAAGTAAGTAAGTAAGTAAGCTTTATTTATATACCGCCTTTCACAGACCAGAGTCACAAAGCGGTTTACAATTGTTATTTTTTGGGCACTTGTCCTCTCACTCCACACAGAGATGGGAGCGAGGTCGCCGAACAGGAGGCGCATGCCAGACCTATTGTACATATTTTTAGTGGTAGGGGAAACCGGAGTACCCGGAGGAAACCTACGCAGGCACGGGGAGAACATGCAAACTCCACTCAGAAAGGCCCTGGTCCGGCCGGGATTCGAACCCAGGACCTTCTTGCTGAGAGGCAAGAGTGCTATCCACTCAGCCACCGTATAACATGATGTCCCCCTGGTGGTCACATATAGACACTAAACCCTGTATATTTTTGTAATTCCCTATCTCTGCATATATTGAAAAAATAATTAAAGCACATTTGCATGATTTTAAAGCTGTCGGCCATAAACAGCTGATCTGTGTGTGTATCCTGTGGTTGAAGACTTTCGTCTCGACCAGACACATGTTGGACTGTGGTCACAGCTGTAGCATAAGCTTCATGAAACTGGATTAAAGCAGATGTGTGTCTGATAATAGGCTTACATCGATGCTTTGACTCTGGACTGTGAGATGTTCATGTTAAACCCATTAGGATCAGGATGTACAGACAGGCAACAGGCCAAAAGGCATCATGCAGTGACAGTGCTGGGACAGAGGAGAGGGATTTAGGATTACAGACCTCCGAGACGCAGATGCAGCAGAACTAATCAAACTATTGTGAATGTAACCTACACTGCAGCGGTTGGGCTAGACACAAACCCAGGGCTAAGCAATTAAAACAGGAAGAAGAGAAATACTCGTTGAAAACAAGGGGGGTGACGTTTATTTTGCCTATATAGTACTTAATGTAACCTTTATTTGCCATTGGCACTTGAATTACAAACTAAAAATGTCATGTGACTGGTGTAATTTGTGGAACCACGATTTCCTTCTGGACCTAGGTCATATTATGTGGCCCTGTTGCTTGCTAATCCAAAGTAGCTTTTGAGATCATAAACTTCACAGAACCATTCAGCCATTTTCAGATGTAAAACTCAGAAACTCCTGTATCCAGGTGTCCGGAATAGATGCCCGAGCCACCTAATCTGGTTCCTCTCGACGTGGAGAAGCAGCGGCTCTACTCCAAGCTCCTCCCGTGGGATTGAGCTCCCCCCCCCCATCTCTAAGGAAGCACCCAGCCACTCGACCGCTTGCATCCGAGATCTCGTCCCTGGAAAAACACACACTGCTAAAACACACACAGCAGAAAACACACCCTGCAAAAATATCACTGTAAAAACACACATTGGAAAAATACGCACTGGAAATACACACACTGCAAAAAACACACACTGGAAATATACACACTGGAAATATACACACTGGAAATACAGACACTGCAAAAACACACTGTAAAAAGACACTGGAAACACACTCACTGGAAAAACCCACGCTGCAAAAACACACTCTTGAAAACACAAACTGAATAAAACACACTGCAAAAACACACACTGCAAAAATATACATTACAAAAACAAACACCGCAAAAACACACACTGCAAAAATAAACACTGCAATAACACACACTGCAAAAAACACACACTGCAAGAACACATGCTTCAAAAGCACGCAATGTAAACACACACTGGAAAAACCACGCTGCAAAAACACATACTGCAAAAATAAACACTGCAATAACAAACACTGCAAAACACACACTGCAAACACACACTGCAAAAACACTCACTGCAAAAACAGGCACAGCAAAAAAAAAAAGGAAAAAAAACACACACTGCAAAAACACATGCTTCAAAAGCACGCAATGTAAACACGCACTGGAAAAATACACACTGCAAAAACAGACACTGGAAAAAAACACACGCTGAAAAAACATACACTGGAAAAACACACACTGCAAAAACATGCGCTGCAAAAACATGCACTGTAAAAACACACTGCAAAAACATGCTCTGCAAAAACACAAAATGCAACAACATACACTGGAAAAACACGCATTGCAAAAGCATGCTGGAAAACACACACTGCAAAACACACACTGCAAAAACATGCGCTGCAAAAACATGCACTGTAAAAACACACTGCAAAAACATGCTCTGCAAAAACACAAAATGCAACAACATACACTGGAAAAACACGCACTGCAAAAGCATGCTGGAAAACACACACTGCAAAAGCATGCTGGAACACACACACTGCAAAAAGGCACACTGGAAAAAAAAAGGCTAACATGTGTTTGACAAAATGTCCAAACAATACTAAAAATGATCAAACTGTACAGTTCACATGTCAGAATAGGAGCATGTTGAAGACCGAGTCTTATCGTTCATGCCCCTAAAAACAAAACACTTCAAGTTTTTTGATGAGCGCCTAGAAAAAAAATACAATATACACACGTTTAGTTATATAAAATATACACACGTTTAGTTATATACAATATACACACGTTTAGCTATATACAATATAGTTCATGTGACTTTTCCAATTAAGTTTATTATCTATAATTTGACTCCCAAAAATTTTTTTTTTTTTTCAATAGTTGTATTTCCGGTAATAATTTATTTCTGCTCTGAATGTTTTCTAGTTATGAAAATCATACATTTAGTTTTTTTCCAATTTAGATATAAATAATTGCTATCAAACCATGTTATTAGTAATTTTCAGCCGTTTCCACGCGGAAAGCCTTGAGTTCTTGGAGTAAATCAGCCATGCCAAACGCTGCGTCACCGCCTTCTTGTTCATTTGTCACTTTACTCTTTTCTGGAGTTGGACAGGCAGTTTCTGTATCATTTCGGGGTTTACCTCTGGGCTTTGTCATAATTACTTTAAAGAGAACAAGTTTACAACTGAAAGTATTGTAGAAAATCTCAGAAATTAATGATCAGATTGCAGAGCTCTCACAGGCCGTGCACATCTTTGACTGAGGAGACAGTAGTGCCTGTGGTGATCGGTGCACTCCCAGTTTGGAAAATACACACTGCAAAACAAGCACTCCAAAAACACACACTGCAAAAAAATGCACTGGAAAAGACACGTACTGGTCACAACACACATGCTGTAAAAACATGCACTGTAAAAACACACATGCTGCAAAAACATACACTGCAAAAATATACACTGCAAAAAACATACACTGCAAAAACACACAATATTTGCACAGACGATTTACACTGCAACCTATTTCTCTTTTGGATGAAAGCAGTTTGATTGAAAAATATCTGCACAGATGACATTTACATAATCCTCTCAGATGATCAGTGATGTTTAATGATTAGAATTGTGCAGAGTGATGTTTCTTTCATTGTAAGCAACAGAAAGTATATGTTGCAATAAAATAATAAAACTAAATTTGTATTACCACATATATGATTATACAAAATGCTGTTATAATAAAGCTGATTCAAGCAATTTAGAAGCATACACAATTATTAAAACTCCCCCCCAACGTAGTATTTTATGTTACTTTATTTTTATATATTGTCTTATATACTTTGGGCCATAACAAGTTGATACCGTGCCCACTCTGGTCTAAGGGGCAAAAAAACCCTTTTGTGATCCAAAACTATATTTTTTACATACTTGTAAGTGACCTGTGAGTCACTATTTGACGTTTTGTGCCGAGCTCCATTTCTGTGATAAAGGCATGCATGTAAAAACCAGTGGTTGAAGCAATTATTACATCATTCAATGTGTGCGTGGTTCTATCATTTGGTACCACAGCTTTAGCTATAGTCGTTTGAGTACATCTATGAACGTCCACTAGATGTCAGCATTGCCTCACAACTGATGCATAACTCTGCTTGAACTGTCATGCAATTGAACTAAACAGACATTAACAGGAAAGCAGAACTAACAAAAAAACAAACTAAAATGTATTACATTGAGTATAATATGAATTTTTTTAGCCTTGTAGAATATGGCTCCAGAGTTTAAAATGAAGAGATCCTTAATTCGTCCCACAGTGGGGAAATGTCAGTGTTGTATCAGAACAGGAGTGAGGAGGAAAACTAACTAATAATAATAACTAATTAAATAAAATAAAACCTCTAACGTCAGCATAATAGGGAATTAAATATAACATTTCT